ACTGGACAGATTTTGATGAAATTTGGTATGATGATAGCTGCTTATCCGCGTCAACTTATAGGATACTTTTTACTGCGGGAAAACATATCATCTCTGAGAAATCTATACTAAACGTTACAACGTAACTATATAGTCTATAGTAGTATGAAATAAAAAGTTTCTTAGAATAAATTACAACATTCTTCTTTAACTAGTATATTATCTTCCTCGCTCATTTTCCAGCAGTGGAAAATGGTCCTTTTGAAAATCCAATTGAAGTGGGTTCAAATCCGGGCGTACTTCTGAGAAATTCATTCATGCGAGTTTTTTTCATCATGATTACCACTTGCTAATAAAGCCCAAAAAAATATTTTACAAGGAAACTTATATCTGTTAGCACTTAAGTTTTGAAAGACGTGTAAAATCCAGCGTGGTGGATCTCGTCACACTCGCATTGTAAGAAGGTTCATGCCCAGCAGTGAGACGTTATAAGAAATCTTAATTATTAATTCTTTTAAACGATGTACTTATTTAGTTGAAAGAATTTCTTTCAAAAGGTTTAGATGTAACGTAAATATTTTTGAATGCTTAAACTGAGCATTTCATGAAGATACAATAGCAATTTTCCGTTCAAAGGCTCCTTTGTTTGGTTTATTCCACCATATTCTTAATTGATTGGCAATACGGCCTCTCCCACTCACGTCATACTGGGGTAGTACCGTCTATTACAGGGGGTGGTCACCCCGGACTGGGTTGACATGTAGATTAACTACTAACATGGCTAGCGAAATGAAGAAAACCACCAATCGACTAATTGATATTATGCTTTTACTAATGCTAGCCTGCGGACTCGCCTGCATTTGTATATTTCACTCGCTTTTATTAGTTTCTAAGTAGGTAAGTAATAAAATTTTAGGTTTTAACCAAATTGGAAACCAGCTTGTGTTATGGATACCAGATAGTTGATACACTACATATATATAAATAAATATTAAATACATAAATATTATAAATATATACACCCATATATATAAATAAATATTAAATACATACATATTATAAATATATACACCCATGACTGGAGTACAAACATTCGTGCTCATCACGCAAATGAATGCCCCTAGCGGGATTCGAACCCGCAACCGCTGGCATAGCAAGTAGGGTTACTACACACTGAGCCAAACGTGTCGTCAAACAACAAGCTTCGAGTTTAGGCTCATCTGTGTCGTTTGATAAGCCTTATACATTAAAATTGATTTGAAATTATTTTTCTATAATATATATTCTTATTTTTTGGTTTTTGAAGAGTTATTAATTAAAACCAATACATTCATTTCCATTTTACTATCACGAAAAATTCTAAAAACTATTTATTTATGATTTTATGGAATATGTGTAAAGATGAATGAAATATTTTTGAATGAAGGATAAGTGTGATGATTAGCAAGATTTATGTAACACGTAATAAAAAAAAAGTTATGTATACAGCTCCAGCTATCTACATAAAATAATTTTACAACTAAAAATACACACTGTATATATTCCACTGTTACTAAGTTCTAAAGCTGTTTTTTATATCATGACGTGAACATCATATGACGTACAGTAAACTGAAAAAATCATACGTGATCTTGAAATATTATACGATTAGTTATCTTGTTTTATTGCTTATATCGAAAATTTAGAATGTAAATTTTCAATATTTCACAAGATTATTGCCTACTAGCAAGTAGCAATGCCCTTGTGTCTAAATCAGGTCTCAAATCAGGCGTCTTATAGACGTATTCATAGTTTGTTTGGTTCTAGTAAGATTAACTGCTGCATTGGCCACCAAACCATTGCGATATTTCTTTTTTAAAGTTTAAGAAATCTAATGTTAAAACCACTATTTTTTTTTATAAATCTTTTTTACATACGTTAGTTAGACGTTTTATTTCTAAAAAACTCATGATATGATATATCTAAGTGCAATATAGTAAAAATTCAATTCACAATCTTTAATTCAACAGTTATAATAGAACTTAGAATATCCACTTTTTATTATTATAAATACCTATGTATGTACTATATTGTTTTTAAAACAACTTTTGTTAAATTTAAAGTTTTAAATAAGATATATTACTGCGAATCCTTGTCAATAGAGGTGCTGAATGTTAATGTACAGACAACCAAATTTTCACTTAAAATTTTATTTGACGATATAAAATTTCTTAAGAAAACAAAAAAAGGTACACTGACTTCGAAATTATGATCATAATAATTATAAGAATCAATAATTCTATCTTTAAGTGATAGAATATTTGCATGAGTTGTATAAGACTGTCCTTGGGGCAGAAGCTATTCATTAATAAATAATGGGGGAAGACATAAAAAACACATTAAGTACAGAAGTTATATGTTTGAAGTTCATTATAATACTACTTGATCCTAAACGTAGGAAAAGTTGTTCATCTTAGTAGATATAGTAGCATTTGTAGATATTTTCTAATATTTCTAAATATTACACAGTCAAAAATAACATGCATTATCGTGAATCAGCATACACGTGGAGTACTTGACTGGATCGTAAAATATGAAAGGGAACTTTGTTCCATAACCACCCAACTAGTGATAGTTGTATTTTGACGACACGTTTGGCTCAGTTTGTAGTGACCCTACTTGCTGTGCCAGCGATCGCGGGTTCGAGTCCCGCTGGGGGCATACAATTGTGTGATGAGCACGAATGTTTGTAATCCAATCATGGGTGTTTATATTTATAATATGTACCTATGTATTTAACGTTATGTATTTGTAGTATATTAACTATCTGGTATCCATAATACAAGCCTCGTAGCTTACCATGGAACTAGATGGTGCTGTGTGTTAATGTCCCAACATATTTATTATTATTTATTTATTTGTACTAGGTTCCTATGTCTAGTTGAATAATAATTAAGACAATAACTAAAATTGTAATTATGTGTCTAATTCACCACCAAGAAAAATGAAAGAAATATGAAAATATTTTCACAAATGAAAAACTGCACCGTAATAAAAATTTCAACAGAATGGAGTACCTCTTCCTTTTTAAATCGGTAAATAAGAATAATAAACCCTTTAGTGGAGATACCGAATTCGATAATAATTTGACATAAGATGTGAAAGAAATCTGTAGAGCTCGTAGCTTGGAACTTTTTCGTCTCTGAGTTCCTGGCAAAGGATAAGTACGTATAGCGTAAAAGATATCCATTTATAGACTATAGTTCCTACATACAATATACTTTGATGACACGTTTGGCTCAGTTTGTAGTGACCCTACTTGCTATGCCAGCGGTCGCGGAATCGAGTCCCGCTGGGGGCATTCATTTGTGAGATGAGCACGAATGTTTGTTCCATTCATGGGTATATTTATAATATGTATTTATTTACTTATATATGTGTATCAACTATCTGGTATCCATAACACAAGCCTCGTAGCTTACAACTGAACTAGATGGTGATGTGTGTTAATATCCCAAAATATTTATTTATTTTAATTATGTACGCTAAGATCACTCATATTGACCAGTAAAAGTCATTTATTATTTTTTGACTAAATTACCTCAATATAAATTGAAAAACCTCTATTCCGTCAAAAAACTATTACGATATTAAATATATACGAGTAACTCACCTGTAAATGAATATGTTCGCTCAAATCATATGTTCTTAAACACTACAAAATATAAAAGAAAATACATAATACGTTTTAAATATGTAATTTTTAATGTAAATATAAGTATCTACTTTACATTTTGGACCAATTACCCGAAACATCATTCAGCACTAAGCTTCCATACTTTAACGACTGACGTGAGTTCATAAAACGTAGTAATATTTTTATTACTCACTAAAAAAGTCATTTTCTTTGTATTATTACTTAGAATTGTTTAAATATTACGAAAAATTATGTAATATTACCAGAACAATTAGAAAATATTATATTACTGGTATATAAAAATAACTTTAGTTTAAACGTAAAGTATTTAAATAAAACAATATGTTTACGTGAACACGGGAAGAACGAAATAATTTTATTTTCATTAATATGAGATCTTATATCGGAATCGAACCTGCTCCCCTCGAGCTTTGACATTTCGTATCACTGAATTTTAACGCCATTTAAAACACAGTTAATAATAAAATGGAAATAAACTAAGCGGGTAAAATATAAATATTATATATTATTTATTTTGAGAATGTTTAAAAAAAAGCGTTTTAAGCAAGATTTTAAACGATAACGAAACGCAACTGATTTACTTTACTGTAATTGTGAGCTTACAGAATATGCATTATATACTTACCTACATTTACACGATTACTATAGATTTTTCATAAATGAAATATTTTCCGGCAGTAAAAAATTTCCTGTATGTTGACCCGGATAACCAGCTATTATCATACCAAATTTCATCAAAATCTGTCCAGTGATTTTTTCGTGATGCTTTCCCAGATAGACAGACAGAAAAAAATTCTAAAAACTATAGATTCGGCCTATTTATCGATAATAATGACTATCCCAATAAGATTTTCCAAAAAATATTTAATGTACAGATTCGACTCAGAATTTTATTATATGTATAGATAGATTCTCTTTTTCAATTTCTATAATTGAATGTTATATTAATATATCACATTTTTAAAATAAAGAGATGTATCAAGTACATAGTTATCAGACTGTACATGGAAATTATACACGAAATATGAGCTGAAAGTTCAAAATAAATCAGTTTTAAGCCACCAAGAAATTGATTAAGCTTTAATAATTGTAAGCTTTGATAGAGAGTGACTTCTATTAAATTGTATAAAAGTGCCTTAAAAACTTATGCATTTTAATAAACGACGTTTTCTCATGATTTTATCATGTAATTTAATTTTTGTTTTTTAATTATATTACTATCCCATATTGGTACTTTTCTAAAATAGATAAAAAAATACCCAAAAGTAGGTACTTAATGTTATATAACTTTAAAATATAAATTAAAATATTAAAAATAACTTACCCCATCGTTTCGGAGTTCGCCCCAAGAATTTTCTTTCTTCCGGATCCCATATCGCATATTGTATTCTTTGCAGGAAGGGTCTCTGTGGGGGTCGACGGCAGTAGTTGACCACACCGTTAGGCTTGTCTGCGCCCATCGTGCCGAGTGAATGAATGAACGGCCTGTTGCTTGCAAAGATAGCTTGCTTCATAGAAATGAATAAGCGGAGTTTTGCTGCCCAAACTTATTTGTCTCTGAGAGTTTTAATTTCAATTTTTGTTTAGTCATTTAATTATAACTTAACAAAGATCGCTGACTAAACCAAGATTGATGGTAATGAGTACTTAGACTCATAAAGATTTTCGCTATATGTTTAATGTGAGGGGCCGTTCATAAAATATGCTCGCATTCAAAGGAGGTGGGAGGGGTCTTGCCGAGTGTGACAAGATGTAACAAGGGGAGACGGGGGGTGTACGGCAATGTGACGTCCGCCGTTCATTATTTTTCGACATGAGCGTTAGCTTTGTGGCGCGGCTCTAGCGGCCTTAATCCTTGGACTTCTGATTGATAGATATATAATTTGTTATTTATATGTTCGTTATAAAAGATATTTATTGATTTATTTAAATTTTATTATAATAACTAAATAAATATTTTTAATTCACAAAATTTGTGTACTATCATTTGAAAATCATATTCATTGGGGGTCTTAGACTCTTAGTTTTTGTGACGAAATATTTCTAGGGGGGTCACAGAAAGTTTAACACAGCGTGACAATAGGGGGGAGAAGGTAAAAAAGCTGATTTTAGCGTGACGTATTTTATAAATAATGCCCCTAATACATAACCAGTTATTTTAAAGATTTAAAAATAATAACACAGTAGGTATAGTAAAGTAATTATATGCTCTTTAGGTATGAACGCTATAATAAGATATATTCTATAATAATTAAACTTGTAATGAATTCAGTTCCTAGGGGAGAGGTATTGTTTGTATGTGATATTTATTTTATTCATTTCCTCATAGCCTGCTCATGAATAAATCAAAGAATATGAGTCTAAAAAACATTGAAATAATACTGTTTTAAAGTAAAACAAATATATACTATACCTTACACAGGATACCCAAATATGTAATGAGCGAAATAAAAAATATATTTTGTTGTAAAAAAGATTACTTATAATATTTTTATTTTATTAATATTTATATAATCAATTGTAAAATACTTATATGTAAATATTTTAAAATAGTATAATAAATAACAATAACAGAAAACTTACAGTTATTGGCAGTTTCTCTTTATCGTTTACTCTTTGATATCCGCCTTATAGCCGCCCAAATCTGCCCAGAACCAGCAAAACCGCCCTGCCCTTACCAATTAGCTTACCTTGCCTGGTGATGAACTAACCTCTGTTGATTTTATAACACTATGTAAATTGACATAAAGAGATTTACGAGTATATTTAAACTAGCTATCTGCTGCTTCACACGTGATATCATATAAAAGCCAGTCAAATCTGAATCGTTTGCTAGTTTATGAAATTTGATTACGATTTTGAGTCAAACTATTTTGATCGCATAATACTTTATTAGATTTATTATTATAACATTTTAAATGAAAGTATTCGTTTTTGCGAATACCTATATTTAGATTTTTGGTTCTCGAACTTTCGAATGCTTTACAGGAATCATGGTCATGGGAGAGACCAGGGATGTTTTGTAGACATCTCAAAAGTTATTATATAGTTGTTACTGATAGTATCTACCCACAAAAAGAATTCGAATGGTTAGTTTTATTTAAAACGTCAAATATTCGCATTAAGAAAATATTAAAAAAAAGCGTGTAAAAAACGGAGTAACTGTTCAACAAACATACAGACAACGGCATATTTTTTAAATAGTTCTTTGGTTTTATTACATTCCGAGCATAAATTTCAAAATAATGTAGTTCTTGAAACGAGATTGCTGATAGGAAATCCCATCGGCCTCAGTACTTGATCAACTATAAAATTTTAGTATATTTTCGGCACTGTAAAGTCTCTGACACAGTTACTCAGAACTTAGCTACGTCTTGCAAGAAAGACATTTTCGTATTTATAGTATTAGTCAGGATGCGTAGTTGGTTATTAGAATAATAATTGAAAACAACATTGTTATACTCAATTTTTACAAACATTGTATTCCAACGATTAAAATAGCTCAATGCTATTTTATTATTATTATATTTTGTACTGATAACAGATTTAAATAAGTTTCTAGGTCTCATTTATAAGCAAAGAAGAATCACAAAATTTATTAAATAAAAAAAATTAAAAACCCGACTGCTTAAAAAGCTAACAAAAATTGCATTAACCAGTTGGAGTATAGTATACATACACGTTTTCCTTGCTGCGATTCTTGCTGCGGTAGCCCACTCCTTTTACAAAATACATATATTTTTGAATAAAAAATCATTGTATTCAGCCCTTTTTAACGTCCCACTGCTGGGCACGGGCCTCCTCTGTATGAGGGGGATCAGGCCATAGTCCACCACGCTGGCCAAGTGCGGGTTTTATCATCATCATATATCAAATCAAATCATTATTTGTGAAAAATTACTTTGATAAAAATAAATATCATAATAATTTCCAAATTGAAATGAATATAGTTTAAAACAACTAACAATACTCACTATTGACCAAATGTGATATTATTTTAAACTCGTAAAAACTAATAAAATGAGCTCAAATTCAAACTTTTTGTAGTAGTCGTTGAAAAATCTGCTATTCAGCTTTTTCATGAAATTAGGTTGATCATACTTAATATTATAAAGAGGTTTTAAGGTTTGTATGTTTGTGAATTTGTTTGTAGGAAGTAATCTCTGGAACTAAAGAACCGATTTAGATGAAATCTGGTAAGAAGATAGTTTGAGACCCTGGGGAGGACATACAGTTTTTATCCCAAAAATCATCCCTTACGGGGGTGAGAATGCGGATGAAAGTTTGCATGGGAAATCAACCTAGGGATGAACCCGAGCAAAACGAGGGTGAGTCGCTTGTGTTATATGAAATTATTGTATTAGCGTCTGCTTTTTTTAAAAGAGTGTAAGGCACACCACACACGTTTTTTCTTTGCCTTTTTTTGATCATTTTATTTATTTACATATTGTGATTTTCGTTATATTTTTTATGAGTAATAATAAAAGTAAAAATATAATCAAATTAATATAAGCAGTTACAATCTTGCATTTTTTTGTCATCTGAATTTCATATATTTTCAAAATTCCTAGTGATTTAGATCATCTTTTAGTTGATACAAGTGAAGGAAATAAGAGCGTGTTGAAACTTTTTTTGATGATAAAAGTTTTTAATTCGAAAAATATTAGAATTAAAAGGAAAAAACGCTAGATAAATAGAATATTTTATCATTGGACCAATAATAGTGAATTTTATTACTTATAATTATCCTTATCTTCATATTTTTAATATATAGCCTATCGGAATTTTATTTTATTGAATCGTTATGTCAAATGTTTGCAGAGCGCTGTTTTCTTTCAAAGGCTATGACAGACAGACAGACAAAAATTCTAAAAACTATAAATTCGGCCTCTTCTGCTCGGCCTCGTCCCTAAGTACCTACGTTTTAACGGTTAATACAGAAATAACCAACAATCATCATATCAAATTTCATCAAAATCTGTCCAGTGGTTTTTTTGATGCGTTCCCAGGCAGACAGACAAAAATTCCAAAAACTAAAGATTCGGCCTCTGTATCGATAATAATGACTATTTCAATTAAAAAATCCAATTTTTTTTTACTGTACAGATTCGACTCAGAATTTTATTATATATGTGTTGATATTTAAGTGGAAATAAAACTTGTATTATTCACAATATATATTTATTGTTACATATATTTTAGACAATACGCGACAGGCAAAGGAAAAATCATCGAATTGAGAAAGTGCCCAACCTTAAATACTATTTTTGAATTTTTGATTATCTTTTTTACCAATATAACAATAACGTTTGCGTTCCTAATACTTAACAATATGTATATATATATATATATATATATATATATATATACACATATTGTTAGTATAACATAGTTAATGGTTTATAAAGCAACTTAAGAAACAAACGCCATATATTTGCAGGGCAGTGATATATGGATACTTATTTCTATACGTAAAATTATATAATAAGCAATAATATTAATTTAATTTAAATACTCCAGTATAGATGTCGGCAAGTAACTTCAGCGTTAACTGTAAATCTTTTTATACAAGATATGTCCTTAATTTAGGTCACCTTTATTTAGTTATTTAAATATACTTATTATACACTATTGTACACCAAATTATTAGAAAAAAAATAAAAAAACACAAAGTATTTATAAAGAACATGTACAAAAGGCCTAATCGCTAATTAGCGCGTTCTTCCAGACAACCTTTGGGCTAGGAAATATTTCCATTCCTAGCCCAAAGGTTGTCTACGTTTTAACGGTTACCATACAGTGTGGGTGGTGTAAAAATTATAAATAAATATGTTGGGACATTAACACACAGCACCATCTAGTTCCACGGTAAGCTGCGAGGCTTGTGTCACGGATACCAGATAATTGATACACTACACATGTATTAACTTTAAATACATACATATTATAAATATAAACACCCATGACTGGAGTACAAACATTCGTGCTCAACACACAAATGAATGCCCCCAGCGGGACTCGAACCCGCGACCACTGGCACAGCAAGTAGGGTCACTACAAACTGAGCTATACTTGTCGTCTAAATAATTAATATAATTCATACATACCACAGTATTACCTAATACTTATAAATTCTACATATACATATAATGTAAATCTTTATTAAGGTTTCAGCTGCATGATTTAGTAAACGTTAATTTCAGAGTATTCTTTGAGTCTCCATATCCTTTAGCAAGAGTTTTGTTGGCAATCGTTACCCTGTTTAATACTATCACTTTAACGTGTACTATATTGTATTCAGCCCTTTTTAACGTCCCACTGCTGGGCACGGGCCTCCCTTCAGTACGAGGGGAATCAGGCCATAGTCCACCACGCTGGCCAAATGCGGGTTGGCGGACTTCACATGTCTTTCGAAAACTTGCTAGGTTCTCTAAGACATGCAGGTTTCCTCACGATGTTTTCCTTCACCGTAAGGCAAGTGGTAATCATGTTAGATATGATTCGCACATGAAAATAGCAGAGGTGCGAGACCCGGATTTGAATCCGCTTCACTCGGTATTCCAAACGAGCGCGTTACCACTGGGCTACCACTACACTACTATATTACAGGCAACAAACATACTATCTAGTATTTTGGCTAGTAAAAGTTACATGTAGAATATCTATAGTTAAATCACAGTATAAAAACCAATGCAGTAGGTAGGTGATCGCTTTTGATCTTAACGGAAATTGTGTTAAATGCAAGGGTTGTCAAAATACCAACAATCGATGGCGAAAAGTTTATGAAGTTGCAATTATACGCGACAGCCCTAAAGTCGATTCCCGACTGCTATATAAAAGTACGTATGAAAAGTCGGGTGCGCCTCACCCACGTCTCAACCCGCCTCGTATGTCAGAAGACTGTATGGATTAGTAGACTGTGATTAAATAGTATCACGTTTAATTTACAAACTCATACTAAGGATATTTTTACTTATTTTGAATACAAACTTAACAAGTTACTTGCCGCATTTTTTATTTCTATGATTTTCTATATAATAATACAATAATATGGGCATTGATCGTCAAACTAAAATTATTTATAGTTACTTAAACAATAACTAGCTTTTTTGATAATAAATAAACTAAATTAGGAATGATAAAATGTAGACCGTATATATAACTAACATTCGACAAGTATTTTGTGGGAATACAATTTAAAAAAAAAACTAATTCTCTTAAGAAACTGATAAAAAACGGACAAGTGTGACTCCTATTTACGTACGGAGAGTTCCATAGCATCAAACGTTAATTTAAAAATATTTATGGCGTCATTAAGCGGTTTACACGATATGTTCACCTTCACAATTTCAGTTAAATAATATAAAAAATCGAGTAAAATGACCGTGACATACAGACATACGAACATGATGAAACTATAAGGATTCTGTTTTTGGGTTTTGGCTACGGAACCCTAAAAACTTAACTACCTACTTAGGTCAAATCTTAAAAATTTATATCCCGAATTCTAGTGAGAGAAAATATTTACCTTATTAGCACTTTCAGTTATTATATTTTATTGGCAAATGGGACAGCTGAGAGTAAAAGTGAATCAAATAGAGTGCGAAGTAAATGTTATTGACGCTTCAAATGATATTCTATTTATACGATACTAGCGACTCACCCTCGGTTCGCTCGGGTTGGTCCCTAGGTACATTCTAACGATTAGTAGGTATAGGATAGGCTATATACTGTTATATACATATATTATTATTTTCTAACTTAAACTTGACATATACATACATACCACTATTGAAAGTAATCCCAAGTAGTGATTCCCATACAAAATAACCAGTTCTGAACTTTTAGATTTTTCAGCTGTTCTTATGGGTTTTTCCTAATTTTCTTATATTTAAACCATCCCTGATATACTCGTACCTCCAACAAAATAAAAAAAAATATTCATCGGTTCAGCCGTTTTTGAGATTTAACGAGACTAACGAACAGCAATTGATTTTTATATAAGATAGATGAATAGAAAAATCGAAAAATAGTAAGAAAAAAATGTACGGATATCTACAGTACAAGATTGTGTTCAATTTCTACAGTGCAAGAGATGTGTTCTTTTTTTATATCTTTTTACTCCACAAAGGCTGTTTTCCATACATTTAACCTCTCATATATTAATGTTAAAAGAACATAAACTTTAACAATCAAGGATATAAATATATTATAGAAATTTGTATATAGTATTATTTTTATGTTATCCTTCCAACTGACGTTACGGCGGCCATTCTCAGTAAGACCAATCAACTTATACTGCAGGCTTGTGTACGCAGACAACGCGCATTCTCTACACCCTAAACTCTCACACTCCGATGGGATTTTCATATGAATCTTAAATACCAGATTTCTGACATTAAAATATAATTGAATGAATAGTCCTGAATTAAAAACCTTACTTCTAATCAAATGACATCAATAAACATAATTTAACATATATGTAATTAAATGTTAACAAATTTAATTTTTATATTATATTTTAATTATTAAATTCATTTTGCATTTGTAATTTTCATTTTTAGTTGTCTAAATTTTAATTTTAATATGTTAAGAAGGATAAAAGCTATTTATTGACTCGCTGGACAGTTAACTTTAAAATCTACAATTTATGAGGGCATAATATTACGAGTAATACGTAAATTTGTATAAATTACCTAACTTTCTTTTATACATTTAATCGAATAAATTAACTTGACAAATTTAATATTGATATATTTTTAACTACAATTTCATATTAATAACATTACGTGAAATAATAATGAAAATTAGAATAATCTATCACCAAATTATCTTTTCAAACAATTTGTACCAAAATATTTTGTACTATAATTTTACTAATAATTTAACCGTGACTTTGTCTATGTATAAATTTGAAATGAATCTTATATCTGCATAGCAGTTGTGACAAACAGACATGCACAGTTATTATCAGTATTTTACATAGAGTTTTCCGTTTTTGTATGGTTAGTTGAAAAATTATCATCTACTTGTAGTACCATCCGCGCATAACCAGAGGGTTCCTTCAAGCTCTTATTGTAGATAATATTCTTGGCCCACGCTCTACATCGTATCACCGATTGAATATTTGCTGAAAAAATAATATTATAGTATTAGCTTTATACTAAAGTTTCAATCGTAAAATACTTATGTTAGTATAGTCATAATATAATATATTTTTCCTATTTTCCCGACTGCGCCGAGGCCTAAACGAGGGTTATGTATATGTAATATGTATGTATGTCCGATCCTATGTTCCCTCGTAATTATTTGATTTTCTTGATTCATACGTCATTACTCGTAGATTCGTCTTGATAATGCGAGTGTTACAGAGTACTTAAGTGTAATTAAATATCAAAATGGCAGATACTAAGCGCCAATGTGCATCTTGAAAATTTTTTTCGTCCGAATCAATCGAGTGGGATATTACAATATAGGTTATAAAGAAGTAATTATAAAAATAAATACAAGAACTAAACATGTGTAACTGACCAAAACTAAAATACTGCAAATAAAAAAATCACTTACAAAACTAAAGGAACCCGACTGCATAAAAGCGAACTAAAAAATGAGAACAAATCGACGACGGAATATAGCATTTTGAATTATATATATATATATATATATATATATTGTATTACTATTGTAATATTGTGCAATGGTAGAGTCTAAAGTGTAATATAGAGCCATGCAATTTTGCTTTTTTTTTTAAAGCTATAGCTATATACATGACAGCTTAATAACTAATAGCCACTAAATGTGTATATTTTCTATTTAAATCAGCCAAACCATTATCGAGTGGTGCGTGTAAAATTCTAGAAACTATTGACCGTGATTAGATTTGTTTTAGAAACTAATGACACCACTTTAAAGTAATAATTTCTTAAATAAAACTATCTTTTCGGATTCTTTTGCGGATTTATTTTGATTTTTGGTTCCCGACGTTTCGAATGCTTTACAGCATCCATGGTCACGGGAGAGACTGATGACCATGATTGCTTAAAACATTCGAAACATCGGGAACCAAAAATAATTATAATAATAGGTAATAGTTTCATTTAGTTTATTGTCTATGGATACATTAATCTATATTTTTAATGTGAACATGTTCGAAAGTAGTGATGCCACTTATTGATAGGGAATTTACCTAAAATATCCATAAAAAATATTTTAATATAAATTATGATGAAAATTTAGTACATACATGGCGGAGAAAGCTTGATAGCAATCAAAGGGCTGATGTAGCCTTCGTTATTGAGGAATGGGTAGAACCGCCCCGGCAGTCCCATGCCCCACGGGTACTCGATCTTTGTCTCATTTGAGTGTTCACCCCAACACGATATCCATACTTGCTGACGCTATAAAATGATTAAACGTTGTATTTAAAGTTATGTAAATGTTTGTATTTTATTAATAAGTAATATAATAAGTGAATATTTGCTTTAGAAAGAAAGTGAAGCGGAATGGAACCTCGAATATAATATTTCTGATCTACACTTACTAATAAAATAAAAGAAAATATTTTGAGGCATATTAAACTGCATATCTAAGAGAGTTAGTCAACTAGGTTTAAGCATTTGGTGGAGTGCTACGGTCTATCACGGCCTCCACTCAGTGACAATAGATTGAAAATGACCGTTCTAACCGTTATATCACGTGGTCAGAATATGTCATTCCCAAATAATAATATCCTCCTGACCAACTGCACGAATTATTATAATGCACAAGTATTCGTCAAGACACAAGTTCTCTATTCCATTCACTCTCAAAGTCCGATGGGGTGATACTTTGAACGACCAACAAGGGTTAAGGATTAGCGGACCCGGGATATGAACCCAGGACCTCCGGTTCAGCAGCCGTATATACTAGCCCCTAGGACGACAAGTCAGTTCTTCTCAAAGAATTTGCTGTTAAAATCGTCGATTGAGAAAAGTCTTCCGAGGACTTGATAAGGAGCAAACGGACGAATATAGAGGAATGGGATGTATTATATAGCTTAACTGACATCATTACTAAAATATATTTGGTGCTTTCAAAAACATTCTTAACTTTTACTCATACATTTAATGATGAATTTAAAACTCACATCGACTTCAGGATGGCTTACGATATGCTCCGTCAACTCCAGTGGCATATCGCTCGGTAGATCAGTGTAATAATCTGGTTTCCAACCATAAATCTGTAAGAGCAAATTTATCATTATATATAGGTAGCTTTTAATTTGTCTGGCACTTAAAAATAAAAGTTTACAGCTATTTTCTCGGAAAGTCAGTTTATACTGGTCCTCGCTCTACTCACTGCAACCCATTTCAAGAACGCCTCAATATTTTTGCAACATTCTAATACCTCACGGAATATGTTTAATGTGATGAGTCAAAAAGTTCGTATTGCATGAGTTAATAAGTATTCTAAGCATTTTTATGAGTCATATGTATCATACCTTATTTAACTTAATGAAAAAACATGGTGTCATCGGATATCCGAAGTTATCTTCTGACGTACATTCTTTTCTTGATGTATACCAGGATTCATTTTGATAAGCTGTAAAAGTATAAAGTAGAAAAATTTATTAAACTAGAGACTCACCCTCGTTTTTAGGTTAGGTTGATTCCCCATACAACATTTTCACCCCCTCAAGAAATGATTTCCGGGATAAAACTATCCTATGTCCTTCCCAGGGTCTCAAACTATCTTCTTACTAAATTTCATCTAAATCGGTCTAATAGTTTCGAAGCTTATTGGGTACAAACAAACATAAAATCTTTCCTCCTTATAATATTGGTATAGATATAATCGATATCGTATAACTCGTACATAGACAGTTCAACTGGAATTACAGCTGTAAAATATGTCGAAATTCGAGCAATCTTCATAATATTTACCAATTAAAATTACTTACGGTGAAGGAAAACATCGTGAGGAAACCTACATGTCTGAGAGAACCTAGCAAGTTTTCGAAAGACATGTGAAGTCCGCCAACCCGCACTTGGCCAGCGTGATAGACTATGGCATGATCCCCCTCGTACTGAAGGGAGGCCCACCCCCAGCAGTGGGACTTTAAAAAGGGCTGAATACAAAACTACTTCACTATGTTATACAGTACACAATCAGCTGCTAAGACTAAATTACTCTTGTCAGAGGTTTATAATAATTATTCTTGAAATAATTCAAAAGATGGTGTACACTTTTAGTTAATATAGTAAAAAAATAATTATTTATTTTACTTACGTTCAATGAATTGCCGCAGTTCTTCGACGTACGTTTCAAAGGCGGTAGAGTTTTCAATATTATAGTGTATAAACCCATCTAGCGGCTGTGGTCGACATGCCACGCCAGGGTTTACACCTGAAAACCAACCAAAAGGAAATATAAAAAAATATATTACAAAATTAAAAAATCCGACTGCGCAAAAATCGAACTAAATATGTGGGAACAAGTTGACGAAGGAACATAGTATAATTGTGGATCGGAAAGGATTGTACAATGTAATACATGTTATATGCTCTCTCTCTCTCTCTCTCTCTCTCTCTCTCTCTCTCTCTCATCTTTCTGTCATGGCGGCGTGTGCGTTGTAATTAAAGGGTTCTGTATAAAAATAAAAGACTTAAATTTAATTGCGTGTATTACTCACTTGCGACTCACCCTAGCTTCGCTCGGGTTCGTCCATAGCTTGCTTCCCAGTACAAACTTTCATGCCCATTTTAACCTCCTTAAGGAAACATTTCCAGGATAAAAAGTATCCTAAGTCCTACCCAGGGTCTCAAACTATCTTCTTACCAAATTTCATCTAAATCGGTTCAGTAGATCCAGAAATTACCCCCTACAACGTCACAAACTCACAAACTTTACCTCTTTATAATATTAGTATAGATAAATTCTAGCTATTATGCAGTAAAATACATACATGTTTTATACTTGCTGCGAGTTTAACTACATCGACGCTTATCAATTTTTATTATTTATTTTTATTGACATTTATTTAAGTTTCATTGCCAAGAGGGCGACAATAAAAGTTAAGCAGAGGCCGATATTTTGTTTTTCTTTAAAATTAAACGTGTGTGACACAATAACATCATTTACAATAACACACTGTAGCGGTAATTAGAATTACCGTCCCTAATTGCTCACTTCCTACTAACGCGTGTCAAACACACGCGTATATATTACAATATTTACGTAACAGCCATTGTGTTTATTTCACAACTCAATCATTATCTTAATCGATATCTACGTACAAAATTATATGTCCTATCTGACTGTATCGGTAGTGCAGTAGCTAGATGTACAACTGCATATCCGGAGGTCCTGGATTTGAGTCCCAGGTCGGACCGAGTTTAGTTATTGAGTCGTTCTATTAGGCCCAGTAACAGCCCGAAGTTGATTTGGCAGAGTTACATCCCCGTGCCTCGGAGAACACGTAAGGTCGTCGATAGTTCGCCTGATCATGTCGAATTATAGTCTCATCGGAATACGAGAAAGAATTAAGGTATACTGGTGTCTGCGTGTACACTTGTGCACTATAATATCTCTTGCACAGTTGTCTAGTCTCAGTAATATTGGCCACCGTGGCCGGAATCGGTCAGGAGAACATCATCTTCATCAGCTGGAATCATCCACTTTGAGTTATAACGCATATAACCACGAAAAAAGGATCTTCCTAAAGCCTCCCGAATAATGTTATACGGGAAGACGAAGTTACGAAATACGAAGAACAAAGTTTACAAGGAGACTAATATTTTTATAGTCATATACACCCGTACTTGAAAAATTGTACGATACCCTTTGACACATATCTTTAACCATTTTTTAACGTTGCAAAATGCATTAAAGCGTACCACCTGCATACATACAGGTGGTTATGTAAGAGTCACCGGCAAAACCAGTACTACCCAATAAAACCCAACGGAACACCTCTCGTCTTAATATGGAGTCGCAGGATCGCTTACGAACTTAACTATGACGCCCCCACGGCAGGCCTGCCGAAATACACCACAACATCCATGGGGTTACTCCAACAGACCACTCTGCTATCAGAGAAGTACCAGGAGTAGCCCACATGGCACACCACCCACCGAGGTGGGTCGCCTCCTAGTGCATTTCTCGGCTTCGCGCCCGGCTGAATTGCCGGACGCTAACGAGTCAAAGTTAAAATTCCTTAGAAATAAATAAGTATCGATTTTTGGAAATCGAATTAAGACATACCAATTTTTTTATAAAAATAGGTATATTATAATTTTTATTGACAGTCAGTAAATGCAAAAGTAGTATAACGATACGAATTATAAGAATGAACCTATATTTTAAAATGTAAACAACGTAGTTTTCGAATAATGACGTCTTCAGTCTATATAGTTATGAAGGAAACTAAATCCTCGCTTTAAGGACAAAATTGGTTGAAACTAATCGTGTAATCCTGTGTAATTTACGACGTACGGGCAGACGACAAATTACCGCTATATCTCTTACATAAAAATTGTGTCTTGCCATTCCGTTCTATATTTTACTTAATGAAAACTAATAGCTGAGCTTGAGTATACCTTTGTTTAATCAGATTTATCTTCATCTCCTTGTTAATGGCTTGAAATGGTGCCAATGCCTGTAGAATGGAGAAAACATGAGGGAGATTGGTTAGTGGCCAGTTTCTTTTAACTTACCTATCAACGATTTTTCTAATATATACAAAGGCTTATCATCTTTCAGCACAGAGAACAGCCCCGCCATACATATTGCGAAGAGAGCTGCCAGCACCGCGTAGAACACCAGGTAGAATGTTATTATTATACCTGAAATGAAAAATTATGTTATATTAGCTAAACGTGTCACTTGATTTAAAACTAAAAAAAATAATTACGCCAGTCATGAAATCACTAGCAAGAATTAAATCACTATCCTGTAGGATCCCTACGGATTTTTGTGGATTTTACTTAGGGCTTAGGACTTTGTTTCCTAAGAATTGTCATGAGACTTTAAATTTAACCCGCCTATCCGTCCTCCTGTGTGTTCTTTCTTTAAAAGATTTTGAACAGATCAGAAAGATTAATGAAAAACCGGTGTTTAGATAGTATGTGGCATTAAAATATCTTAAGGTACTTATGAATAGAAAATAGAAAAGTAGAGAATAATATTTTTGGACATCGTTACGTGGACGTTAAAAAGGAATTAATGAATATATAAGCTATCCAACTGTAAAGTTTCGTCAAAATTCGTTAAATAGTTTTTACTTCACTCTTTAAAATAAAGAAGACAAACATACATGTATACATCAATTGACACATCCATCTTCATAAACCTTGTCGTTTATATTATTAATAAGATGTTGATGTAGTTATCCTACGTGCCCCCATCGTTCGTAATAAAGTAGCTTAATAGAAATACACATACAAGTAAAGCCAGAAACAATACCGCACAGAAAGTAGATCAACACAACCGTACAGTTTTTATATTTATACTAATACTAGCAGAACCCGCGGCTTCGCCCCCCCTAAAACTACAAGAAAATCTCTAAAAAGATAGGTGTTATACAAACTTTCATACCTTATTTTACTCCCTTATGGGACGAATTTCGATAAATGCTAAAGCACGTATTTTTTTAATTGTATGGAAAAGCATTAATACTAAGTTTCCAGTAATTCTGATCATAAATATTTTTTTGGGTTGTACTAACGTGTTTTACTGTGGAAATGAGATAATATTCCGTGGTAAAATTAGCCTATGTCACTCTCCAGCCCTCCATCTATCTTCACACAAAAAATCACGCCAATTTGTCACTCTGTTTCGACGTGAAAGAAGGATAAGCAAACAAACAAACACACTTTCATATTTATAATATTAGTATGTATATAAATACGAGGAAAATCAACTTCAGTGGTCAAGAACACAACCATTGAAGCAGCTCAGAAGGAAGCTTACTTTCCGGAAACTAAAGGACCCCAAGACCAAAGTGAACGATCGCCTCAATTGTAGTAAATAGCCGGAGAGATTTATAGTCGACGGGACCTTGATGAAGCATTTTGGGGCGATCGTAATGGTGGCCCAACTAACAGAGGTCAAAACGGTCACACTAATCGGGGATATCAACTAACTCCCACATAAACAGATCGGTAAAACCCGGTAAAAAAAACGGCCCAACCGTCAAGACGTCCATCTTAACAACTTTTAAGCACGAACAGAAGTCCAATGAACGTCACTTACGCTCCAGACGAAGTGTACAACGGAATATATTCAACCCAGCCAACAGTCGTTCTCTGAGAGACTTGAGGTCCACGAGTACTCAAATTGTAATGAAACACCAAAACACCCTTACCATGAAGCTCAGGAATTAACATTCTGACGCCGATGGGGACGAAATTGGCAATTTATCCGGCAGAAAAATAAAACAACTAGTATTATAGATCTCAATTTTAAGATGGCAATATCTCATAGAGACGAGGAAAATATCACCAATCAGGCTAGCACTATACACAAAAAAGAACCCTCAGAAGACTTGTCACGACATGACTCATGCCATGACTGTTGCAAGAGTCTCTAGTCCTCAACAATATTTTATAACCTTTACTTTTAATTCAGCACAAATCAGAAAGTCGAATAGCCTCACATAAATGGGTTCGTAAGGCTCATTTCTGACATTAAAATCTTAAACAAGGTGCAAAAGTGTAATCCTTTACATTTACAAATAAATTAAAAATAAGACAGTCTATTTATGAATATAATGAAGATTGTAGACTAATCTAGGTTCTAATTTTGCGCTACAGCCCTTACGAGTGGAAAAATATACATACATAAAAAAGTACACGTGTACACCAACAAAACCATCGTTATTTATTATATTTGTTTTTATTATATTAATTATAATAGATATTCATGGAGAGTTCTGATTGCCATGTGTTTTCTGCGTAGTTTATTATATTCATTTATAAATTAATTATGCAGGAAAACATTAATCTATCTGGACTACAAAATAATCGATTAAATCGTAATCAAATGAATTGTAAATTGTAAAACTGTTCATGCTTTTTTTCGTATCAATTTTTGAATAATGTATTTATTCAACCCTTTGTAACCGACTTCCAAAAAGGAGGAGGTTCTTAATTCGTCGAAATCTTTCTTATGTTCTATATATCTTTTTTATGTATGTTCACCGATTACTCGAAGACGCGTGAACCGAATTGGATTTTTTTTCCAAGGGTATATTTCTCTGGTGGTCCCCTTTAAATTTTATCGAAATCGGTCTAGCGGTTTTTAAAAAGTCAACAATAAATATATTTTTTAAATAAATTGCTTAATCGAATATGTTATTAAAAACCTTTCTTCTTACAAATTACCTGCTAAAAATGGAAAAAAAAACTTAAAAAAAGTCCGACCGAAGTCGGATTTTTTTTTATTAATGTGCAATTGCTGGGCACGAACCTTTTGACGTACAATTTTGAATATAAAAATATATATATATATATATATATATTTATTTATTCTTTCTTGCATAAATAAGTTATTCAAAAAATATAGCAAGTGACGTGTACACTGTACAATAAGAGATCTCTTCCAGACAACCCATGCATGTGGGAAATAGTATTAAACAGCGGGACAGAAAGAGAAAGCGCAAATTGACAATATGAAAGTATATAAGTTAAAGCATAAATAAATACAATATATATATATAATATACAATACATATACACTATAATTACATACATATTATATAAGCTATATAATTTCTCACATATTTTATAAATTTTTTCAGTTCTGGAAAGTATTATTAGGAACACATCTAAACCACATTTACATATTTCAAAACGTAAACATAAAATGTAAACATTTCATAATACCTTGTAGAAGATTTACTATATTTTGTTTACAACAGAAGTAGGGCAATTAGGTAATTCGTAACAAACAGACATACAGTCTTACGAAAGCGATTTATAAAGCAGTGTGACGTCAGCGTCTAAAAGCGTAGGGACGGAAATAGACAGCCCGTCCTTAGTAAATATCGCATAAACATCGACCTGACAACCACTACATATGAAAATTATACAATTTTTTTACATACGAATAAATGGACGACTGTCCCGATTTATACTATCAAGTCTGTTGAAAGTAAGTTTTTTTATTAGTATTTTTTTAATTACTTACACGACAAATCTTGCTTTAATTTCGATCTACTTTTAAAGATTTACAAAAATCTTAGAAAATAACTAACTTTCGTTTTCTTTCGTCGTTAGTTTGGTTCTCTCTAGGTTTAGCCGTTCTCAAATTATTTTGTTACCACCAAACAGGATTCCATCTTTTCTATATATATATAATAAAAGTGTAACTGATCGCTGTCTGTAAATGGAAGATATTTGAGAAAAAACTATCATTGGGGTTTCTTTATTTACGCAATAGTACCCAAAACAATGATTTTAGAATTTTTGTCCGTTTGTCGGTTGACTGTTTGTCTGTGCGTTTGTGCGCGCTAATCTCAGAAACGGCTTAACAGATTTGGATGCGGTTTTTTACTAATATATTATGGTAAGCTTCAATTAACATTTAGTATATGTTATATATTTCAATCGGTTCATAAATAAAAAAATTACGTCAATTTGAAGAATCACCTAGGGACGAAGCCGAGCGGAGCGAGGGTGAGTCGCTAGTATTAAAGTAAATAAAAAAGCTTTATAGTCTGGTTTTAACCGTGAGTTGGGACACTATTAAATCCTTTAACAAAGTTTTGGCAAACCTTTTGACATCTTTATATCTATATATATAAAAGAAAGTCGTGTTAGTTACACTATTTATAACTCAAGAACGGCTGAACCGATTTGGCTGAAAATTAGTGGGGAGGTAGTTTAGAACCAGGAGACGGATATAGGATACTTTTTATCCCGTTCGATTGCGTTCCCGTGTGACGTGACATAAAACTCAAGAACGGCTAGACCAATTTTTATGATATTTGAATTTTTGGATTTCTTAGTTAGTCCGGAATAGGATAATAAATATTAAAACATCAAAAAAAAATTTGTATGGCTCTGGCTAGTAACTATTTATATCTATTTAAAACGTACCTAGCGACAAACCCGAGCGAAGCGAGGGTAAGCCGCTAGTTACAAATAAATAGATGTCTATTTATATTTAAATTATAATACTTCAAAGCATTAATCGGAGCACTTAATAGAATAAAGCAAACTGGTTCTAACCTTGAGTACAAAAGCAAAATACATGGGGCTCATGGGAACGATATTGAAATATTTCAATGGGTGTGAAGCCCCATGGTTAAATTGTGCCTTTGTACGTAAATGTTCAACATTCAACAGTTTTTTAAACGTCCTTGGTTAGAGTTTAATTTTAAAAATCGTTTAAATCAACATTTTCCAATCTATACAAATAAATAAAATTGGAATGTCCGTTTGTAATGTGAAAATAATATTGGTGTTTACTTACTCGTAAATGCATATAAAAGTTTACACGGTACATATTAGAAAAAAAACATTTTTAAAATTTTGGTCTGTCTGTCTGTTTGTTCCGGATTATCTCCGAAATGGCTGGACCGATTTTTACGGAACTTTCACTGGTAGATAGCTGATGTTATAAGGAGTAACTGAGGCTACTTTTATTTTAAAAAAGAAATAGGATTCCGCGCAAAAGAAATAAAACCAATGAAATTGTAAACAAAATCAACATACCTAGGGAAGCACCCGAACGAAGTGAGGGTAAATCACTAGTTAAATAATAAAAATATATCATCCTTATCGAATTATTTTTCTTTAAAAAATAAAACAATATTATACAGGTCGATATTATTTAACGGAAA